TGTATATATGTTTTATATATATAGGAAAATCTCATAATAAAACAAAGTAATGGGGTGAATATGATCACAATACATTATATGCTTGCATGAGAATGTCATAATGAAATTCCTTCATATACTTAAAAAAAAGTTGGGTGTGGTAGCACATGACTTTATTCCCAGTACTTGGAGGCAGAGGCAGATGGATCTCTGTGAGTTTGAGGCCACCCTGGTCTATACAGTGAGTTCCAGGAGAGCTAGTGCTACACGGTGAGATCCTGTCTCAAAAAAAGAGAAAAATAATTTTTTTTAAAGTTTGGAAATTTTAAATAATTACCCAGGGACTAGAGCTATGACTCAACTATTAAAGAGCACAGGCAGCTCTTTCAGAAGACCTAGGTCCTTAAGTTCAGTTCCAAGGGATCCATTGCCTTCTCTGGCCTCCATGAGCACTGTATGCACAGGACACTTAATGCAGGCAAAACACTCACACACATAATTAATTATTCAATGAACAATCCTGATTTTCAAAAATAGTGAGTTAAAAGATTATTAGGCTAAACCTCCCAGAGAAAAAAATACTAAAAATTCTAGGTAAAATATTTTAATATTTCCCCCCAAAGAACAAAGAATTTATAAGCTACTAAGAAATCGTCACACCAAAATGCAAGAGAAAGTGAGATATACTTTTGCCTTAAGAGTACCTGCATATCCAGAAAACTTTGAACTGTAGTTTTGATGGTCTAACAGGTCAAAGGGTATAGCTATCAAAACCAGGGTCTATATTGGTAGGGCATCTAGAGAGCTTTCCTCCACTAAGCTAAGTTCTGTGAGATATACTCCCAGAGAAAGGGAAAAAAATATTCACATGAATTTGTAGCTCAATTTTCACACCACTAGAGTCATACATAAATCCTCAAGTTGTTAACTTACATTAGCATATCAAACCCTTGTGGAGATAGGTAACCTCACTTGCATCATTCAACCAGTCTAACACATAAGTTTTCAAGGCAACAGCAGTAGAAACCAAAGGTACAAAGAAACAATGAGGGCCTGGGTAAAGACTCCTACCCACAAGCCTGATGAACCTGAATTTGATCCCCAGGACCCACCCATATGGTGAAAGGAGAGGCCCAGCTTGCACAAGTTGTCCTCTAACCTCTGTGTACACGTGTGTGCACACATGCACAAATAGAAATGTAAAAATTTATCTAGAAACAACAACAAAGAAACAATGAATCATAAGAACAAGTGGAGACAACATAAAGGAAACCCTCCAAACTGCAAGACACTTTTATTTCTAGATAAATTATGAAACCAACACACACTAAAGCAGAATTCCAACAAGACAAAAGACCAGCTTAGCTTGAGACTTTTACAGAGAACAACAATCTATAAAAATTTGTACAGCTAAGGTAGGCCTGGTGGCCCATGCCTTTAAATTCCAGCATTTGGGAGGCGGAGACAGGTGGATATCTGTGAGACAGAGGCTAACCTGGTCTTCATAGTGAGTTCCAGGCCAGCTAGGGCTACAGGGAGACCCTGTCTTAATAAATAAATAAATAAATAAATAAATAAATAAATAAATAAATAAATTCATCATTCAGGGAACAAAGTTTTAAAAGATGGGTTTTTTAATATTTGTCCAAATATTAACTATTATCCATAATCTCTATTCCTTCTAATAGATCTCAGTTACCATCCAGTTTCATTTCCTTTCAGAGCTGGAAGATTGTTGGTAACAAATTATCCAGGGTTGTTTCCATGTTATATGGGGGTGGAACCCTCACATACCAAGGAAGTGCTCTACCACTACCCAGTCCTTCAGTTTTTACTTACAGTGGTGAAGCACATAGTCATATTTTCGACAGCAACAGACTTATATGAGAGTGGTTCCATAAGATTATAATGGACTTGAAAAATTCCTATTTCTTAGTAATACTGTTGTGTGATAATACCATAGGACAACACATTATCCACATTTGAGATGATGCTGGTGTAAATAACCCTGTGCTGCAAGTCATATGAAATAATACAGCACATGCAACTATGCCCAGTGTACAATATTTGACAGTAAACGACTACTACTGTTTTATAGATTTACTTATTTATTCCATCTTAGAGACTATGCCAACAAAAGCTACATAGAATCTCTCGAATTTGAAATGTTTGTGCTAGTCTCATTTAGCTTGTAATGTCTTACTTCTTTTTCTCCTAGGTATGAGACCTTTCCTGATTAGACAAAGCCAGTAAGCCTCTTTTTGCTCCTTTCCCATATATTGTGACAACTTTTATTTTATTTATTTTTCTTTTTGAGGCAGGGTCTCCCTGTAGCCCCAGCTGGCCTGGAACTCACTACGTAGACCAGGGTGGCCTCAAACTCACAGAGATCCACCTGCCTCTGCCTCCCAAGTGCTGAGATTAAAGGTGTGTGCCACTATGCCCAGCTAACAACTTTTATTATGGCAAATATGAGACAAAACTATTTCTGTCCACATGTCTCTCATACAACATATAATGATTACGTGTTTTATTTTTGTGTCCTGAGAACTCAGAACCATTGCTGGCACAAAGTAAGCACTAAAATCTTAGCTGATTAATGGGAAACAACAAACATACCTCTACTGGTCTCACCCAAGCCAAAGAACAAGGAATGGCCTGAGCTGGAAGCTTTGTGTAGCAGCACCTACAGTAGAAAAAAAAATGAATATTTAATCCTATGTTTAAATTGCTTTTATGAAGTCTTTAATCTACTTCGTGATTTTTTTATTAATACTATTTCAATTATTTCATGATATTAATTTTAAATTAAGGCTTTGTACTTTAAAAGAAATCTAAGAAATAAAATACAAAACACAGTCTTTGAAAAGAACCATGCAAAGAAAAACACAGGTAGGTAGTTCAATCTCTTTCACTATAAACACACTTCTTAGCATGGCCTAGACTCATTTTCTTAATAAAAGTCTGAAATTTTTTCTCATGGTCCATTCAAATTCATAATCCAGTGATAAAAGACAAAAGAAATGATATCCACCCATTAAATTAACTGATCAGTTGCCAAATCTGCACTAAGATCAGGAATGGAAAGGAGGAGAGGAAGAAGGCAAGGGAAAAAGAAGGACCCCAGGCCCAGAGTTCCAGAATTTTGATTCAAAATTTCATTTTTCCAGCATTCTTGTTAAATTCAACTCACTTGAGGAACCTCAGAGAGGACTTCTGGACAGTTCCTATATTTCCAAAATCTTGGTAGAACACTTCAACTTCCTTTTTCCCAAGGATTCTGTGGATAATAACTCGGTACCACCACTTATCCTCAGAAATTCTTACACAACAGAGATGGCCCGGCTGGATAAAATATTCTGGCATGATGTATCGATCAGAAACCAGCTGGTTAGAATAACAGCGCCTGTGAAATTCCATTATACACAAAAACCCATAGAGTAAGAGAAAAAAAGATAATTTTAATTGATGCATCAAGAATAAGAGTGTCTTGGCAAAAAGCAAAAACAATTTTGATCTGTTAATGCTTACTGTTAATATCAAAGAATTTATTATCCAAATCCTTTCTCTTCATCAACAAACTCTTCCAAGTATAAAAATTACACACTCATCTTGTTATCCCACATTCTCTGAATAGAATGTAATCCAACTTCAGTTCCCAGAACACATAGCATGGACATAAAAAGCAAAACAAACCCAATGACTTGTTCATTTCAAATCTAAGAGCCTCTGTATTCAGCATATCTTCTTCCGAGCTCTTGCTTACTTAATTTGCAATATACAACTCTCTCCTACTTCTTATCAATATTCTTAAAAGACTGTACATTGCCTTAAAATTCTGGATTCTTTGGAGTCTTTAAAAACAGAAACCTAGGTTCAAATCCTGGCTCCATCATTTACAAGACAGGTGACTATGCTATCTTTCTGTGTTTCAGCCTTGCTGAAGACAGAGACAGTAACAAAACCTTAGTTAAGATATACAAAAGTTTAGGACAGTGACTTAGTTCTGTTTTTCTGTTGCAAGTAATATGTTGCCCCGTCCACATCTATAGCTGAGTACATACCATTAGGTTCCCCTTTCAGCCAGTGGGAATGAAAGAAAAGTAGAGGTTATGGGCCACATCTTTTCTTTAAAAGACACTACTTTGGGAGGCAGAGGCAGGCAGATCTCTGTGAGTCCAAGGCCAGCCTGGTCTACATAGTGAGTTCCAGGCCAGCTGGGGCTACAGGGAGACCCTGTCTTAAAAAGACAAAAAAGACACTACCTGAAGTCGTCACATTTTACTTTTTAAAAATGTGATAAAGTGTTCAATAATTTGTCATCTTAAATTTGTACACAATTTGTTATAGCCTGTTCACTAGAATTTTGTATTCATATAACCACACCCAGATCCCGAGAAATGTAAATGGCTGTATACCTAGTTAAAATGTACATATCTTATTAACTAAGGTGAAAAGAGGAAAGAGATTGGGTATGGCTATAGGAAACTAGATTGTCTTCTGTATAGTTTAAAGTACAAGTTTTGAAATTTAGGATGTAAGCTCTTCTAGTCTATCAGTTTATCAGTGATGAAATGAGACATAAAAATGAATGAGACGGCATACAGCAAGACTGATAATATTTGAGATGTGGCCCATAACCTCTACCTTTCTTCTTTCATTCCCACTGGCTGAAAGGGGAATGTGGTGAGTGGTATGTGGTATGTGGATGGGGCAACATGTTACTTGCAACAGAAAAACAGAAAATACCCCTCACACCCTGGAGTGTCCATATTAGCATGCATTGCTTCTACTGGACTGTACAGGAAGAAGAGATAGTTTTTTATCTTCTCTATGCTACCATGGCTATGCCTTTGTAACACTGGCTAACCCTAATCCTAACTAAAATTCCACATTGCAAACTGACACTGAGTGGGAATGACTATTTTCTCTCACCCCAGATTAAACCTACTAAATCTCCAAGCCAACAGTTTTCAAATGGAGAGTGTTTTATATTCTCTTCCCTATTCTTATAACTGATGGTTTTACTTTAATTTCTCTCTAGTTTATCTCTTTTCTTTCTATACTGTCTCATAAAGACTTGCACATTTACAGATCTTTTCTTCATCTCATTCACTTTCTATACACTGCAACTGGAGTTATCCTTCTAAAAACAGTATGTTGATATTATTTTATGTCAGACTTTGTCATTGTGAAAAAAATACCTGAGGGAAAAACTTAAAAGGAGAAACAATTTATTTTGGCTCACAGTCCAGGGGTCTTGCTTGCCCTTTTGACATCTACATTGGTACTGTAAAAGCAACAGTAGGTAAAATACCAGGTTCCTTAGCCATATGAAGACAGTAGTATCAAATTTATCACTTCTCACTGTCATACAGTTCTGTTTTTGTTTTTGTTTTTTTTTAACAGCCAGTATCAGTTAAATAATGTTGTAATGCTGGGCACAGTGGCACATGCTTTTAATCCCAGCACTCTGGAGGCAGAGGCATGATGTTAATTTGAGGTCAGCCCGGTCTACATGGAGTTCCAGGGCTAGCCAGGGCTAAATAGAGACACCTGTCTCAAAAAATTTCAAGGAAAATAACTACAACTATATACTGTTAATGATAAAATTCAAGTCTTCAAGGAGAAGGTAGAAATTTGTAAATATTGAATCTAGTGCTTCAAGAGCCTTATAGCTTCATGAAAATTAATGCTTTCTGGATCATGTCAATAGTATTAATGAGTGTGATTTGTTTTTCAGAGACTAAGTTCATTCAACGCACACAAATCTTTTACTGATAGGCAGACCTCAGCTTTTTCTAGTTTACTATTAGTGTTAATCTCTTACTATATCAAATTTATAAGTTAAATTTCAGCATAGGTATGTGTGGTGGTTTGAATAAAAACGTCCCCCATAGGGGTTGCACAGATGGCTAGCAGTTAAGAGCACTGACCGCTCTTGCAGAGGACCCGGGTTCGATTCCCAGCACCCACATGGCGGCTACGAACCGTCCTTAACTCCAGTTCCAGGGGAATCCGAAGCCCTCTTCTGACCTCCGTGGCATTGCATGACACGGGTACACTCACATACATGCAGGCAATACACTTATACACATAAAATTAAAAAAAAAATCTCCCATAGGCTCCAAGTATTTGGACATTTTTGTCCCCAGTTGGTGGTGCTGTTTTGGGAGGTCTTAGAAGGTGTGGCTATTTTGGAGGAAGCACATCACTGGGGGTGGGCTGAGAGAGTTTTTACAACTTGCTGGATCTTGAAAATGCTTGAAAATGTGAGCTCTCTGCTTTCTGCTCCTGCTCCAACCACCTCCTGCCACCATGCCTCCCTACCATGACAGATTCTAATTCCCCTGGAACCATAAGCTCAAATAAACTCTTCCTTCTATAAGTTGCTTTGGTCAGTGTTTCGGTTACAGCAACAGAAAACTAACTAATACAGCATGTATGTATATGAAAAAACAGTATATACATACAGATAGATGTAGGGTTTGGTATAATCCACAGTTTCAGCACTCATTGTAAGATTTGGAAGATAGCCTCTGTATAAGGATATGA